GTTTGGCCTCTCTCTAGGCTAAATCTTTTTTCTAAAATTAAATTGAATCATTGGCAGTGGGTTTCAAATCAAGCACCTTTAGCCTCTAAATAAAGTCTAAAGTCACCAGATACCTGGCAACCCAGATAATAATTCCAAAGTTGTGGCCCTACTGGAGTCAAAAGCCTGCGAATGCTACATTTCTAGCCTAATTTCTGCCAAATTCGACAGTTTTCTAAGTGTACATGAGGTGAAAGGTGAACTGTGTTTACAAAACCCCCGAGCTCGTGGAGTGCTGTGTATGCATGTTTGTGTGTCTGCAACAGGAGATTCAACAGTTATTAGTTACGTCAAACCACTTTTGTGGCAACTTTTTCATCAGATGAAAATTAATTAGAGAAGTTTGGAGGTGAAGCGGGTTCGTCCTCAGCTTCCAGAAGAATTTAACATAGAACAAAGAGAAGAAAGACAAAGGTGACTCTTCTCGTTTGAATTTGAAGTGATCTCAAAATGTCGTGGCTCGCCGTGAGTATGGACAAATCACCACTGTTTTGTTCTCATTGCTTGCTATTTGGTGGTAAAGAAGTGAAAGCAGCCTTAGCCACACCCGAATTTTGATCCACCAACTGTTCATACTTGTCAAAAACAACCTGTGAAGAATTCCTTAACTTGTTAGGCAAGCATGTTTTTGACCTCATAAAGGATTAAATTCCTAAGCCAAGGTACTTTTCAATCTCCGTAGATTCTACTCCAGATGTTACCCATTCTGATCAGTTAACCATTGTTTTACGCTATGGCAATATGGTAGATCACCGGCCCGAGGGGCGCTTTTTGACATTCATCAACATCTCGAGCAACACATCCTGCAGCGTTTGTATTCATTTTTTGTTGCATCAACATTTCGTTGAAATATTTTATTACGACACGTTGAGGAAAATCCTGAATGTCTTGTCCCAAAACACCCATGGGTTACCCGGTGGTCTGCCCGGGCTGATGCGACAGAAGCAGTCTTCAGGGGCTACAAAGAATTCCAAAGTGCTCTTCAAGAGATTGCAGAAGATATTGACCAGAATGGTCTCACGAAGCACGAAGCTGGCACACTTGCAAGTTATATGGACACCATTGAAGTTGCTTTCATGTGTGAACTTTGGAATGACATTTTACATCGTTTCAATTGCTGCAGTAAACTGCTACAAAATTCAACTATTGAACTAAGCCCAGCCATTGGATTGTTAAGACGTTTAGACACATATATAGATGAGTGTCGAGGAATGTTTGACTTTTACCATGACAAGGCAAGTGACCGATGTGGAAGCAGCATAAATAAATCAGACAGTCGGAGAGCACGTGTACACAGGAGAACAGTAGATGACGGAGATGCGCAAGTGTGATGGATGAAATGTCGGGTCAGGAGAAATTCAAAGTGAATACATTCTTGGTTATCATGGACCAACGGAAAAGTGCCCTATGCAGACGAATTGACGCCTATTCAACAGTAGTGCAGCGGTCTGGTGTTTTAACAGAGTATGATTCAATGTCAGCTGAAGACATAAATGCTGCAACATCAACACTTGTTAATGTCTATCCACATGACCTTTCTCCTAACTTTCCAATGTAATTTAGACAGTACCTAGGTTGGGTGAAAGAGCAAGTACATCCGGATAATACAACTGGAAGCGTTCAGAGCATTTTCAAACTCTTGCAAACCACTGGTTTCCACTCAGCTTTTCCAGACAGCGAGATAGCATTGCGGATGTACCTGTCTCTAATGTCAACTAACTGCACTGGCAAGCGTTCATTTTCGCAACTGAAACGCATTAAAGACGTTAAGCGTTCAACCATGTCTCAGTAGCGGCTAGGAATGCTAGTACTTCTTTCAATAGTTTCAATTGAAAGCGATTTACTGCACAACGTCGACATTAACAAAGACGCTGGTGAATTCGCTGTTGCAAAAGCACGCAACGTGGCAATCTATGTAAAAAAAAATAATACATAATTTTAGTGTTGTGAGACCTTAGGTACTGTTAAGGTCTTGTAACTTCATGATGGCATCTGTTTTTGGACCTTTAGCAATACCGTTCTTGGAAAGGTAGTGTCCCAGGTACTCTACAAAAGGCTGAGCAAAGGAGCACTTCTCCAACCGGCAGCGTAGTCCCTTGTCTTGTAGACGCTGGAGCAGGCCTCGGAGATTCTGCAGGTGTTCCGCCGCATTGTTGCCGCTGACAAGGATGTCGTCCAGGTAGACGGCCACACCAGGCAGGTCTTGAGTTAACTGGTCCATGATTTCTTGGAAATAACCGGGAGCAGAGGTTATTCCAAACGGCAGGCGTTTCTGTAGCAGGACGCCTTTGTGAGTGCTGAGGGCAAGTTTCTTCTGCGACTCTGGGCCAAGGCAGATCTGATTGTATGCGTCAGCGAGGTCAATCTTCGTGAAACAGTGGCCTCTACCCAGTCTCCGCATGAGATCCTCCGGCTGTGGCATCGGGTGACGATGTGTCTCCAGTTGCTGGTTCACAGTGACAGAGTAGTCACCGCAGACTCTGATACTGCTCTGACCTTGTGGAGACTTCTTCTTGATAGGTAGGCTACCACTGGCGTACCATATGAGTTGAACTGGACTGGCTCCCAGATACCTCTGTTGATGCCGGCTTGAATGGCACTATCCAGATCTTCCTGTACTGCAATAGGGACTGGGCGAGGCTTGTGAAAAACTGACTGGACGTCTGGCTTGAATCGAACCTCCAGCTCGAAGTCTTTGAGTGTCCCCAGCTCTTTCTTGAACAAGTCTGGGAACTCCTGACATAGTTGCTGGCAGGAGCTCTGCAGGGACGTATCAGGCTTGATGTCCTGGAAGACCTTGCTGACTTTGTTGTACAGGAGCTGGTCCAGGGATAGACCTAGGCTTCTGCATGATTCTCGACCGAGGAGGTTCAGCTGCAGACGGGTGACGACGAACTTTTGTTGTTTGGGTTTGTCGTCCTTAGCCAGCGTAGTCGGAGCTGTGAAGACTCCGAGGACAGGAAGGTCTTGGTCAGAGGCACACCGGTATTGGCTGCTTGTTGGTGCCATCTTGGGGCTGTTGAGCAGGCGCCATGTGCTCAAGGAGATGAAATTATCTCTAGAGCCGGTGTCGACCTCTAGCTGGACCGGATGCCCCGATATGAAGCAGTCTTGTGTAATGGGCTTCATGCTTGAAGCCTTGACCGTCTTCACAATCGTGACACGCTGGCGTTTCTTCTTTCGGCATGCCGCTTCAATGTGGCCCTTGATGTTACAAAAACGGCATGTGGCAGTGGCAAAACGGCAGCTATCAGGTGTATGGGCTCCGTCACATCTGGTGCAGCGTTTTTGTTGCGGCCCTTTCTTCTCGTGATGAGGCTTGTGTTGAAGTGTTGTCTACTGCTTAGGCCAGGACGTCTTTCCTGGCGTTCGTCTCTGAGACTGCCCGACTTTGTGGACGGCCGTGTCCTGAGACAATGTCTCTTTTGCGACCTTTGAAGCCTCCTCTGCCTCTGCTGCAAGTTCGATGGCACGAGCAAAGGTCAGCTCGTCGTCCTTAACTTTAAAGAGGGCTTTAATGGTTGCCTCATTGTGGATGGAGCAGACGAACCGAGTCCTCATGGCTTCATCCAGCGGGTCACTAATGGAGGCAAAGTCACACGTGGCAGCTTCTTGTCTGATTCGGGCTGCCAGTTCGTGGACGGTCTCCCCTGGCTTCCTCTCTGTGTTGGTCCAGAACCTGAATCGTTCTCGCACTATGAAGCGTTTAGGGTCGTATTGATCTGTCATGTGGGCTGCTATCTCCGTCATTGACAGACTGTTTATGTCCCTTGGTGGCGACTGTTGCTGGGCCAGATTCATCAGCAGTTTGTAGACGACACTGGACTGGTTTGTGAGGAATATTTCTGCACGCCGATCGTCTGGAATAGCGTTAGCCTTAGTGAAGGTTTCGAATCTGGACAAGTAGTCCGACCAGAGCTCGATAGAGGGGTCAAATTCTCCAAACTTCGTGCTGATGACCGTCTTATTCTGTTGGACTATGGCCAGTAACACCTCCATCTGCTGCTGCTGTTGACTCATCTGCTCTCGCAGCAGTTTGATCAACTTATCCTGGGACTGTGAGCGAGACATGACGACTGGTCTCTGACTGGCAGCAGCTTGTTACGTCGCTAAATTATGCTTTACGGCTCACGCTTTCTCGGTGTTCTGTTCTTAAAAGAACAGTGAACAGCACGAGACGTTGGTCGGCCTTTTGACACGTTTTTACTTTTCTCGTTGTTTTGTCCTAAGAAGGACAGGAAACCAAACAAGACGTTGATCGGACCAGTTTGACACGTTTCACTTTTCTCGCTGTTTTGTCCTAAGAAGGACAGGAAACAAAACAAGACGTTGATCGGCCAAGGTTTCAACTTATGCACGCTCTCCAGCTGAAGTATGGAAGGAGATATTTGGCTTTGGTTTCAACAAAGGACAGCAAAGATTGGGATTGAGTTTAATGTCTGTTAGGCGTGAGAAGAACGCCCTACCGACATTACCTTTAGGCCCTGATCATCAGAAAAACTTCACTTGACCGGCACTAAAAGTAAATACAATACGAGTGCCAAGGACCCTTGACCTCAGGATTAGCAAGAAATGAGGATAGACCTTGAGAGCGTGCAATAAAAATTTGACTAACTCCGGGCGGAGAAAGTCGAGACGACTAGCGAAACGTGTACAAACTCTAGACAATGAATGAGCGGACTGATAAGTCTCCGTAGACTTATCGCAACGTGAGCCGTATACAAACAATAATTTCTCACCAAGCTGTCTTTTCGATGTTCCCCAGACTCCTGTGTCGCTTCCCAAGGCTTAGGAAGGCTCTCTTGCTTCGTAGAAGGCTTGTGGTAGAGGCAGTCAGCTCGGCTGGGCTGCGCTGGGTAGAGCAGGCTTGGCTGTGTAGGTTTCAATAGCCTTGATCTTGCTTGCATGTAGATCTTGATCCCATCCTCGTCGCCAATGTTAAGGTCTTGTAACTTGTAACAGGAATCTTGTAACAGCAAGCAAACTTGAACATCAATCAAGAACACAGGAGTCTCGTCTTGGGTCGAACATAACGAATCAGTTTATTTATGACCAATATGTCAAAGGAACAATATCTACACAACATGTTAGATTATTTACATGATACAGAATACATGCCTTCATTAATAATTGACACTCACACGTCTCAGTCATTCCCACATAGAATAATACAACACCAGCCTAATGGTAAACGGTGGCAAAGAATATGAAATACAAACATGCCATATTATGATATGAAAATGACAGAATAAACAACATGGAAGTGTTTCTTCAAAGAGGAAACAACTTAACAGCCAATGTCCTGCAAAGGGAATGAACTACGAGCGGATCTAATTATTTCCCTTACATAACAGGTACATTAAATCTTACTGGTATCTTGTTCATATTCCATACTGTCATGCTTAGGACTGGCTGACAGACTGACACACGCACAGACAGACCGTGCGTGTGTGTGTGTGTGTGTGTGTGTGTGTGTGTGTGTGTGTGTGTGTGTGTGTGTGTGTGTGTGTGTGTGTGTGTGTGTGTGTGTGTGTGTGTGTGTGTGTGTGTGTGTGTGTGTGTGTGTGTGTGTGTGTGTGTGTGTGTGTTAAAGGGGAGGGGGGGGGGATTTTGCACCATACCGGTATCTAACTTTTTCAGGCCACTCAGTGAAGTGTGCCTCGGGGCCAGCTGGGTCTTAATCCGGCACTGCTTTGGGGGTGTAGCCCCCCCCCCCCTTCCCCTCCTCCCCCCCTAAGGCAATCTCTACGTATAAGTGGGGGAAAAAAACTCTATTCAGTACATTTAATGTACAAACACGTCTGAGAAAGAATGTCATCTGGCAACTGTCATCATGATGGCCGTATCTGTTTGTTTGTGCCCTTTCTTTCCCTTAAGGGCTTCCGTCTACCCCGCTCTCTCCGTCGGTGCAGTGGCGGTGGGTGGACTAAGATTTGGGTGGGGCTTAGGTTTCTTCCACCTCTTTATCACCAAAAAGCTAGCAATAAGAACAAAACAGTGATGATTTTTCTATACTCACGCACGGCGAGCAACGGCATTTTGAGAACAATTCAAACGAGAAGAGTCACCTGTGTCTTCCATATAATTGTTCTTAGTCAAATTTAAGTTCTTCTGGATTGTGGGGACGAAGCCGTTTCACCTCCAAATTTCTCTAATTAGTTTTTATCTGAAGAAAAGGTTGCCCCAAAAGTGGCTGGATGTAATTAATAACTGTTAAATCTCAGTGGCACAAACACACAGCACTCCAAACACATACCGTCTATGAGGTGGATAGGGTCGTGTTGTTGCGGAAAATAGAACGTGCCTAACAAAGACCCAAATGGGCGCATAGGTATCTGTGTCACTGGGGGAAAGTGTGTCGTAAATTTTCACCCCATTGTCAGGGCTGGGAGATCGTGAGCCCTCTGTGCAGTGTTATTTTTTAAAAGTCTTCTACCTTTTTACAAGAAGAGTTTCATTAAAGATGGGCGTGAGAACCGGCTTATTCTTTCTGAGCCCTAACGACGTTTGATTGGCTGTCAGGCTACTATACATGTAGTTGTAAGCAGTGACAACAATTATTGGATAAACGGGCAAGCCGCCAGACTGAACTGTGTGTTCGTTGCGCGCGATCATAACGTGAGGGGCTCCAGCCCGTAAGCCCTTCACTACCCACCGCCACTGCGTCGGTGCAGAATTTGTGAGGCATCAAGGTGAAATCAGGCGCTTGTCAACGTAATGATATCGAAGAGACCGACATTTTCCCGCCATTTGAGCAATTGTTATCGAATGCTCTGGCTGGGCTCAACACCTTTTATTTCTATTTTAAATTACAATCCCATGTGGACTTTACTGACAAACGATGACCAAAGGCATATGGCAAGTCAATCAGTTGCAGCGTCCAAGAACACTACCGCCTTGGAAGTCTCAAAACTTTGGCGGTCATTTTGTCGCAAATTGTGCATATGCGCATGTGTGTGTGTGTGTGTGTGTGTGTGTGTGTGTGTGTGTGTGTGTGTGTGTGCGTGCGTGGTGAAACACCTATCCAATGTGCCAGGATCTGGACCGTAAAGATGTCTTATCTTGTCTTATATTATCTTGTCTTATTTTATTCCATCTTATCTCATCTTATCTTATCTTATCTTTTCTTGTCTGTGACACCAGGTGAACCCTCTTCCTTCAAATGCGTATATCTCAACTTCTAGTCTAAGTACATGTACATCGGATTGCTTCCTCAAAAGGGAGCCAAATGAACAGGCTATAAGATTATATTGATAACTCCATATACCAAAAAAACTGACGAGCTCCTGATTCCACCTTTTCGGGACACATTTTATTTAGTTTTAGTAGAGGTTTTAAGGCGCTCGCAACTGCATAGGGTCATATGAGCGCCAGAAGATTAGAGGTGTTACAAGAGAGTAACAAACATAAAAAGAAGAAGGGGAGATAAGGACGATAGATGTTTCATAGGAAACAAGAAGCAAACCACACCAGAGCACCTGCCAACCACCCAGAATGTGCCTGCTGTAAAAACAAGGGACACTGCGTCTCTGCGCCATGTGGGAGGATGACAACTTATCAAAAGATCTGTTGTCGTGTCGTCATCTAGATCTACTACTACTACCCATGAGATCGAGAGGGGAGAAGAGAAAAAAACTTAGTCCAGGCACAGGAAACCAGTGCCTTGCTAAAACAAACAAACATGACTTCTGAATGTAAAAAAAGAGTTAGCAAGGCAACTCTATACTGCTCCGCTGTGCGATGTTGTTTGTGTTTGTTTTTCTCGACTAGATATTTTACAAAGATTACATGTACAACACGTAGCAATAAACTATTTTACAAACAACACCGGCCCATTACATAGCAATAAACTATATATTTTACGACCAGCACCTGCGTAGTATGTAGCAATATTCACAAGTTGTCTGTTAGAATACCTATCTATTTTAAATTTATTTTAAATAAACCATATTGCTCATCAAGGTAGTTTCTGTTGACCATTACAGATTCCAAACTTTGGCATAAGAAACAAACACCTTAGATCTAGCCACTTATGAAGCACTGGGTGTGTAACATCTGAAAAATACATTGAACTCATTTCTGTATTGTGTACTTAGGTTGAAATATATTAAGATATTTACAGAGGAGTT